TTTTGGTCTCCACGACACCTAGACAAATATCATTGGGCTCTTTAGCTGGGCTAAATGCTCCCACTAATGTTTACCAGCTTGTCACTTAACTTTGGCCGTGTCTACCGTCTGGTGCTGAAGCAGGTCAGTGTACAGTGCGTTTATGAGACGCTGATGAGAGGCGGTGAGATGTGAACCAACAATAAGAGTTGCAAGGCGCATAAAAAAACAATAAGCTGAAAGACACTAAACACTCGGAATTAGAGGAGGGCAGGTGGTATTCTAATGTGGGTTTGTCACTATGGAAAATTAGACATTGAAGTTTACAGCATCACAAATGTCATTTTCTCTACTTTTTTGCATATATTGCAATAAACAAAAATATTATTGATTAGAGGCAGCTTTAAATGGCCCTAGAGTAAAAATGCTTCATTCTAGCTTTACTTTTACTTTTTACATTGTGATCTGTTTGGCTACTTGTGTCTTCAATTGAATCTATAAGAAGTATTTATTAAATTATACCCAACCTAAACTGTTTCAATTTTTAGCACAGTACAGTGCTTCTTAACATTATATGGTCGGACGACACCAAGTACATCACATTGAAGTTTAAAATCTTGTCCCTGAGGACACATTAATTCTCCAACTTTCGCTTATTGTTACAGAAATGGTTGAGTGGCAATAGGAAGTAACAAACCCACCTTTAGACTGTTTTCCTTAGTGCTAATATCCACCGGCTTAATTTTGGGCAGTTTTTAATCATCCTTTAATCAATTTTAGTCAATCTATGACTCATTAGATTTATAGCTTTCATGACAATCAGTCTTGTTAGATAATATTAGCGTGTTATTACTTTTTAGTTATCAATAATTGTTAATCTATCAGGAAATATATTTATTTCTTTATTGTGTTCTCTGACTTGGCACATATAAAAATTATATACTTTTGCTCTGTAATATTTTGTATTTTATGTTTGTGCTCCTCAATTGTAAGCTTTTCAATTTAATATCCAATTCTTATCGAATTAGCTTCATATTGCACAGTTAGCTAGCACGTCACTTGATTATCAAATCCTTCTACTATAAGCAGTCTGTTTCTCACAGACGAAAAAAGATACTCCCTTTATACCCAAAACAAATTCAACTTTTCCTATTACTCAGATTTTTCTTTTTAAATCATCACATTCCCCTGTCCATTTAGCTCTGTTAAAGCATCGACCCAGGTAGGGACTATCTCTGAACGCGCAGCATGCTGTACAGATCCAACTGCAGGCATCTATCTCATATATACACCATTTTCTCGTCTGTACTACATTTACCCAGATATCTCTTTACTTCTCCGTGCTACTAAAGTCTGAGCTTTGAATGAACCCGAGAGTATGCACGGTCATACGCCTCTTTCTACTACCTGTGCTAGTGATTATGCAAGGAATAATTGCAGTGAATGAGAGATCAGGCTGTATAAGAACAGCATCCTGCTTCAACACTTTCTGTCCACGTTTGTCAGCCGATGTGGGATTTTTGGTGGTTGTTTGACGCGGTTTTTCTTGTTCCGTACTGTGTAACGTTCTGTCATGATGTGTGGATCGAGGATTAGACACGGGAAATAATTCAAACTTTTAGTCAACCTTTGTTTCTTGTGCTCACATCACATGTCTGTCTTCTACTCACTCCGATAATTTATTATCTGTAGAGGTAGCATGCGCAGCAGTGTTCTAAAGTGATGTATTTGATGATGTGTTTAAACCGTGTTTGCGCTTTGATAGTTTCGTATTTATCTGTGCTAGCTTGTTGAGAGATACTTAGTGTGATTAGATAGAGATGTAGTGTGACTGTGTAGTCGTCGTGTAGGTAAGTGTAGTGTGTGTGATGTTGTGATGATGTATTGTAAACATCACATGATGAGACCTACAGTTTCAGACTTTTAAAATTTCTTTTCCGGCTTTGTCATTAGGCTACTTTAATTCTGCTTGTTCCTGATCAATATTTGTTTGAACCACTTTCCGCCACCAATTTTCTTCTTTAAAAAGATCATTCATCATAAATAGAGTCGTCTTCACCCCCTCTGACACACAAACACACACCAGTTAATCCTAAATAAGCTCCCTCTTTCTGACTCTTGACCCCATTATTATTGGTACTAATAGACATAGATAGTGAGTCTTTATTTCTCTCTTCACTCTTCTTTCATCACCTTGGCTTTAATTGGACGGACCTATCTCATCCTTCCATGCAATAGATCCCCACTCTCATTTTCTCAAACTCTAGTTCTCAACCATCTCACCTCTCATTATCTCCCCCCTGCTTAGCCCCTCCCTTGCCTATTTTGTTATTTGTCCTTTCATTCAGGTCTTGAATGTAGGTTACCAGGCTTAGTTTCTAGCAACATATGTAACACACATACACGCGACAAGATACAGAGTAAAATAAACGAGTTTTCCTCCTTGGATGCAAAGTGCAATACTTAACAGATCCGCTTCTTTAGCAAATCTCTCTCACTCTCACCTGTCTTAGATCTTGTCCTCACCAAAAATTCTAACATAGACACTCGAGTTTTTCAATTAAACATTCCATCATACATCACAACATCATAATAAACCATTCAATGCAGTTATTTAGTATCTAACACTCATTTCACTGTAATATGAGTTGATGATAAAGTAAATCTTTATCTAAAAAACTCTCAACTGTCAACCATTCATTTCATACTTTTTTACTTGTTACCAACTTTTTTCATTTTGAAATACACAAACTGCATCACTACATCAGTTAACTGACCCAGTATCTCCAGTCCTAACATTTACTCTTCAGTCCACAGACATGTCTCCACCTCCTGAATCACTCACTTTGTAATCAGAATCCAGATTCTCATGATTATTTACTTCAGAGCTAGAACACAAACTTCACATTGATTCTCTTGTAATTCCCACAGTCAGAAAGGTTCTTTAATGGTACCACATATTAGAAAATATTTTATTATGAAATAAACCTTTATATAATTGTACTTTATGTATTTTACCATTTTACATTCCTTTTTGATGAACATTTCTTTTCACATCAGTGTTCATCTAATCTTCCTCATCACTTTTTTTGACATTAATCCAATCATTACTCATCATCTTCTCTCTCATACTAAACTAAAAGTATCACCACATCACTCTTTCTCCTCCACTTCCAATATATTTATAAAACTACTGTTTCCACAGAATTTCAAAACCAACAATAACATCCCTTAATCATAATGTTTTATGTTTTTCCCTTCTGTCTACTTTAAAACACGGAATAACTAAAACATAATGTATCATATATCTTTAAATTTTACACCTAACTTGTAAACATATTATGAATATTATATTCCATTTCTTCCAATAACCTCCTAAATGTTACACACTTTACTTTAAACTTTAAACCAAATCATATAAATGTCTTATTTCTGGTTAAATGGTGACACCTACAAATTATCACAATCTTGTTATTTATTAATTTATTTACCACTTTAAAAATGACAAATTTTTATTTATTGATTACAGTGTCCTCTTCTTTTCAATTATCTTACAAATTCATCCCAAACATCCTCCAAGGTTTCACTATAAACCATTAACAAAATTATAACCTATGACAAATTCTCTAGAAATTTATAAACTCTTTGAAAAACTATACATGATCTAAAATTCCTTTTTTCTCCCCCCCAAAGTTTGCATCACCCCAAATAAATAAAGTAAAAAATAAATTTAACAACCATTAAAAAAATAAATAATTTTCATTAACTTAACACAATAAACCTCATAAAACATTTTTCACTCACAGTATCGAAACAAGCTCAAGAACAATATTGTTGACAAAATACACTAATAATTATGAAAATATTTTAAGAATAATTCTAAAATATAAATACATGACTGATAAACACTCTTTTAAGTTTAATCACATCTGGACTTACACAGCCTTTCTGGGCAGTTATCACAGCTGAATAAAGCTCGTCGTCCCTGGGCGATTGTTGTACGTTCCTTCAGGTCCAACTCCATCCAGAACCTCCTCTGACATCTGCAGCATGTAGCCAGAGCTGAGCAGTGATCTCAGAGAGTTCCTTCTCTGATCTGTCTCTGACTTCAGGAACTCTTTGGATCTCCTGATGACTGAGCTGTCCTCATCTCCATCAGACAGTGGAAAATGTGATGCTGCTTCTGTCAGGAAGACCATATCATTCTCTGTTCATATCCTTCAGGTTGTTGATGGCTCTCTGGATACTTTCTGACTGTTTCCTTTCTGACCCAGCAGGCTTACCTAAGAGTCTCCTTTGACTTCAGAAGAGAGGCCATGAGAAGCGAACAAAACAGTCCAGGTGGCCATTTTACTTTTGAGATTCTCCATGCTCTCTTCAGAAAGACATCCAGGATATGTCATTTTAATGAACAGAGAAACTATTCTCTTGGAGGAAACTTAATCTCTGTTTCTGCTGATTTTTCCCAGGAAGCCCAACAACTTCGTTACTGTGTAACATGAAATGACGAAGCCAAAACTCTGAATGCCAGTGAACAAATCGTAACTGTTCTGGAAATCACACTCCTCTTTGAAGATCCTGTACAAACGCCTGAGTACACAGAGGCCTCTGTGACATCAAGACAACTGCTCAGGTTCTTTAGAACATTCTTTCTTCACTGTTAAACGCCAGCCTCCCCAGCTTCAGAGAACTTTTCCTGCAGCTTCATCAGCTCTGTGGATTGCCAATGTCCGTCATCAATACTTCTCTTTCCAGAGCTAAAAGAGAGAATATTGGACATTGACAAGTTTACGTATTTTATAAAAGTGTCAATCTAAACCATTTAAATTTACATTTATATGTTGTTTTTATGTGCAGTGGAAAAACCCAGGACCTGGAGGAACAGCAGCCCAGTGTGGAGCAGGAGCTCAGGAGACTGATGGATAAACCAGGTGAGGGTTTGCGGGGAAAAGACCATTAAAGACATTAATACAGAAACAGATCAAACATCTAAATGTGATTTGTGTTTTTGAGCAGATCATCTGAAAACAGCCTGGGACGGAAGAGAGAAGAGCCAGCTGATGGCCAAACTGGTGGAGATTGTCAATGACAGAAACGCTATTGTGGAAGGTCTGGATGAGGACAGACTCAGGTGTGTATACAACTGATTATTTTGTTGCTTTTAGACACACATAACAGTACTTCTGGACAACATGATGTTACATATTGAAGGAAAATTGTGTGTAGTGTATCAAATTAAGGGTTTTAGGGTGTTGGTGTGAGCCGTATCTCGTGGTCACCGTTAAATCCATTTTACTCGAGTGCAGAGCCAAAACAACCAAAAGTGTCACTGCCCTACAGGTTCCATTGTATGTATAAAAACAGTATATGTATGCTCACACAGGCACGAACGGCTGTTAATGTTTTTGTGCATTCTCGTTTGGTTTTCTCAGGGAGGAAGAGGAGGACGAGGAGCTAAACAAGATGATGATGAATTTCAGTGAGTGTCTCCACCACCTCCACAGGCCGTCTGACCCCCTTCCGCTCTGTTCATTAGTTATCACAACCCCGGTGTCACTGCAACTTAGTTGGCTTATAAATTATCCAATTGAGGATTTCCATCATGGACGCCTCTAATTGAAGTAGATAGAATTCTCATTGTGGTTTATGGAAGTGAGCGTGTGTGTGTGTGTGTGTGTGTGTGTGTGAATGTGCTGCATTTTTAAGGGTGCCACTGGGCAATGTTTTCATCTCATTTGATCTAATGACTGCTAATGGAAAAAGCATCAAACAAAATGCTCCCCCTCTTTTTTTGTCAGCGCCGTTCCTATTAGACAAATGGATAATGCTGCTGGTTAATTTGACCCTCTGATAGAATAGAGTTAAAGCCGACTTCATTTGCAATTCATGACCGGGAAAGCAGGGCTGAAATTCAGGAGATTTATTGAACTTCAGTGAAAGGTCGTTATGCTACAGCGAATGAACGCCGACCGTGGGCTAAAGACTAGCCATTTCAATTTAATGTATTCATAAAGTTAATGCCAAAGTTTCACAGTTCATTCCCGCTCTGAGTACATGTGATAG